CCACCATGAAACCGGGCTACGGGCTGGGCGCTGGAGCCATCTCGGGCTCTCTTTGGCAGCCTTTTACCCAGTTTGGGTTGGGCGCTGGAGGTGCTCTAAAGAAGCCCATTTGAGCCAATGAATCCCATGACGATTATGAGTTTTTTCCCACCAAAACCTCGCACGCAGAGAAGAGAGTTCTTTACATGAACTTTTGGGTAATTGAAACACCCCCATTGGATAAGAAGGAATAGCTTGGATAACAGATTTAATAATAACTTCTTTGCCAGCTTAAGAAAGAAGTTTTTCTTTCCACCCATTGAGACAATGCCAAACACGATCTTTAACATATCGAAATAATTCATTTCTTCCCCTACTAGCCCCAAATAAAACTCATGAAAAACCACTACCGGAATGAGTAAAGAATCAGTCACTAGTTGTTGGAAGTCCAGAGAAGTATTAGGACTGAAAGACAAAGCTGATTTCTAAAAATTAATTACATGACATGCTACTTCCTCAAATACTTGAAAGATATTTTCAATGTGACACACACATCTGGAGTTTGCTCCAAAAATAATAAATTGTCATATGCATATAATAAATGTGTAATGGGGGCACAGACACCAATTAAACTTCCATTCCTCTCAGCAAAACGGAGCCAGCCAGAAAAACCTTCTGCACAAAACAAGAAAAGATAAGGGGATAATGGACAACCCTGATGTAAACCCCGCTGTGAACTGAAGTGACCAAAAGAATTTCCATGCCACAACACCGAAAAGGAAACAGTCGAAAGACAATCCATTATTTGTTGTACCCATTCCTGTGCAAATCACAGACGTAGCATTCTCAATATAACACCACTCCACCCTGTCATAAGCCTTAGCCATATCCAGCTTAATGGCCAAAGCTCCCTACTTACCATTTTTCCTCCTTTTGACAGTATGTATAATTTCAAAACCAACCATGACATTGTCAAGAATATTCCTTGATGGTACAAAAGCAAAAAGAAAACTTGCATGTCAGGGAAATAACACTATTTTGTTATCTCAATCAATTATGTTTTCCCACATATAATAAAGAATTTCATATTGCATAACGTGATTGGATAAGATAACAAAACTCTATTTTCCAATGACAGACAAATTTTTCTTATATGATATCCGTGTGTGAGTTTACTCCCACCCTCTTCTCCTTCCAAACTTTAGGATAAAGGAAAATGAAAAAATAAAATCCAACTTGAATGCGATGAGACTCATCACATGGCATATCCAACTGCTTTAATTTGATACAGAAAATGTCCTCAGTCAATGGCTTATCTTGAAATGAACAAAAACAAACTGTGGAGTTGGTATGATTGGCCACATTAGCCTTTTGACCAACTGTCTTCCACGCGCCAATATTTGGTAGTTTATGACATTTCAGGCTCAAAAAAAAAAAAAAAAAAAACTAAAGATAAACCCAAAAGTCTTTTCTTTAAATTTTTTTGTTTCTTCTATTTGTGAGGGAAAAACTGGTGTGATTTTCCCGAGAATCTGATTTCTCCGAGAAACCCAGTTGGAGAAAATGCACGATTTCTGCTTCACGATCCCGTACGGGTTGCTGCTGATCGGTGGAGGATTATTTGGGTACTTTAGGAAGGGGAGCACAGCTTCTTTGGCTGGAGGTGTGGGCATTGGATTGCTTCTCACTCTTGCCGGCTATTTCAGTCTCAAAGCCTTTGAGAGGAAGAAGAACTCGTACCCTGCTTTGATTCTTGAAACGGGTAGGCTTCTTTTTTTGCTTTTAGAATTTTGGTTGGTCTGGATCCCAGATGTGTTAGTGATGCTTCACTGAAATTAAAGGAAGTTAAGGTGAAAAGAAAAGCAATTAAATCGTGATCTGGGTCTTTGTTTCTTGAGATAATGCTTTGAAAAACACTAATGGATCACAAAATATGCAAGTTTTGTAGTTTGATTAATTTTATAGCATTGACTTTGCTGATATGCAGGAAATGTGACTTTTTTTCTTTTTTTGTTGAGGTTATCTGGGTCTCTGTTTCTTGAGATAGTTCTTAAAGAACATTAATGGATCACAAAATGTGTTAGCTTTGTAGTTTGATTCATTTGATAGCATTGACTTTGCTGATATGTAGGAAATGTGGATTTTTTTTCAAGGTTGTTATTTTGTTCTCTCTACTGATTTGGAAGCTGTGTGCTTCTCCATGATTGGAAGCCTCAGCTTATTTCCTGTTGAAAACTGTTTCTAGGTTTGTTAATTGAATCTTTATAGTTTGTCTGCGGATATGAGTTGCATTCATCCATAACAGATTTAGGCATTTCTTCATTGAGCAATGCTGGAGACACCAAAAAAGTACTAAAGTTTTGGATCCCAACTCATATAAAAGCATTTCCTCTGTTCATATCTAGGCTTACTTTAAGTAACATTTATTCATATCTTATAACTAAAAAGTTTTATCTATTAGTGATTGCAAACTTGGTAGGGTGATTTGAAAGATGTGCTTTATGTGTAATATGCTCAGTGATTGCCTTTCAAAATTTCAAGAATTTTAAGAAGTGAAGAGATTGAGATAGAGAGAGTTTGCATTCTGTTCTTCTTTTTCTTCGTATTTTTCTTTTTTCATCCTGCCCACTGTTATGTTGATGCTCAATCTCTGATTTTTTTTTTTTTGTTTTTTGGAACTGATTCGTGTACCTTAAAACAGTTTGTGCTGCCATACTCACATGGGTCATGGGACAGCGGTACGTGCAAACTTCTAAGTTCATGCCAGCTGGTGTTGTTGCTGGCATCAGGTAAGTTCAGTTTCATTGTGCCCTTTTATGGTTGTCTACCTCATACTACTGCATCTGAGTTTTGAGTGCCATGGTTCAGTCTGTTGGTTTATAAACATCAGAAGTACTTTATGTACCTTGTGCGTCTGGTTTTAATTTATTGCTGCATATGACTGCTTTCCTACATTGCAGCGCCTGTATTTTGTTTCCAAAAAACAAATTCAATATGATGTTTAGAATATCTTCTTTCTCCACGCTAGCTGGCTTTGGCATAGATTGAATTGAACAAATGTTATCGTTACTACTGTGCTGGTAATGAGTCTGTGCACCTAAGGCATGTACATAGTTCTTGTGGTTAGTAGATTTGGGATGGTAGGTTATGTTCCCAAAGACATGTATAACTGTAAAGTTTTTCTGTCAAAGACTGGCAGATTGTTGAGGATGGGCTATTTATAGGTCTTTAAATTTATTGACATCAATTATTGGTAAAACTTGTCTCAGTTGAATGTTAATCCAAATACATATCATATTTTCTTGACAATTTTGAATCATGTGTCCCCACCCACTGAATGACCGAAGCTCTCCTGAATGATAGAACAAGGTTAATCTGTTCTATTGAAACCTAATTTCTGAAATTTAGTTGAAAGGAGTTTCAGATGCCATATATGCTGTAGCACCTTACAATCAGTGCCATTGGGAAATCATACTTGCATGACTTCATCTTGATTCACATCATAATTCAGAAGTTTGGATTCAGCCCGCCCTACGTATCTGTTTTCTTGTGTTTACATCTATTATCTTTGCAGAATAGAACGGGTATACCGTATACATCTATGGTCTCTACAAGAGGTAGGATAGGAAATGAGAGTTGGAGTAGAATCTATATCTCCCTCCTGTTGTATGGTTGAACTTAAACAGGAACGGAAAGGGGTCTTTCTGTTTTTTGTTTGGTTTTGCAGGAAGGCAGGCAATTCACATATGTTAAATTATAAAGTTATTTGGTTAGCGTATTGTAGTAATTGCACAGTGTTTCTGTCGTTGTCCCTAATTGTAGAGTATACCTATGATTAAAAGCTTTCAATTGGAACTTCTCAGTTATATATGTTTATAGGTTTTCCTTAATATGACTTATATCTGAAATTTCTGAAGCTAAAACCACTTCATTTGTTGCAGTGCCCTCATGACTGTATTTTATCTCTACAAAATTGCAACTGGAGGGAACCATATACCAGCCAAGACCAAGTGATGGTGTTTGAGGACTTATTTCGACTACTTATAAACTGACATACTAAAATCACACCGATCCAGTTGCCCATATTCAATGTTAATCCAATAGTGCTAGATACTATGTTATCAGGTTGGGTATAAAACTAGAGATGGCTTGTCTTTGAAATTTGTCGAAACCTTGTCTCTGAACTTGCATTGATCATTTACTGCACTTTTAATCGAATCAAATCAACTGGAGCTCCGGATCAACCCAGTGATGGACATGACCCTTTTGTTTTGTTTTCTTGGTGTACCAAACCAACCTTCTTGTTCACTGGTGAAGGGAAAATCCCTTGAGAGCACAAGAACAACCTCACGCATGAATTTAGATGGATGAAAAGGCTTTATTTCAATGGGGCATTCAAACGAGTCCTGAGTTTTCAAGTCAAGGTTCAATCGACCCGTAGTAAGTTTTACAGAGAAGTTTGACAAACTCTCTCCTCTTTGTAGATGAATACTGCATCCCTTTTATCTTGGCTTGGGGTCATTAATAGGGCTGTGCATGGTTCCCTTGCTGTCTCTGTGATCCTCAACTATGCCTTGGGTATGCTCAGCAAATGGTATTTTCTTGGTTGCAAATGGGATTTGATTGAACCTCATTTTATTATCAAGAATCAAACCACACAATAGGGAAACTTAAAAAGCATACAAGTTCGTGCATGTGCATGTAGCAGTTTGACAACAAAAACAGAGGAAAAAGAGAAAATAAACATGGGTAGGGTTTCTGTAGCAAAATCATGTGAGCTGGACTCAAAGCATACAATATTCAATTATATATATATATATATATATATATATTTGTCTTACAAAGCGTGTTGCTTCTGAAATTTCTTCCTTACATAAGCTAATACATACGAAAAAGAAAATGAAAAACCTCTTCTGTATAATTGTCGTTGTTTTAGTTTCATCGTCAATGCTTCCAAGAGTTCCGGCAGAAAAAATAAGTAAAGAAACAAAAATATCGCAGAGATTATAAAATGTACACTTTCAAGCAGACTCAATTCGGTGTCTCCGTGCTGCGCTGCAGACAACCACGCAACACTTGCTACGAACATTGCTGAGACGGAAAGCCGAGTGAGCTTTGAAGCTGAACGGGTTGGCAACACCAAGTTTTTGCCTACTATTTCATTATAAATCACAAAAACTGAGGAAAAGAGGGATAATACGTTCAAGGAAACAAACGCTTGAAGCTCTATTCTTCTTCCATTTCTTCCTGGTGCTCCAGTATCGACGAAAGTTGCTGCAAATGTAATGCCTGCAACAACCGTTGTTATCATGAGTCTGGATCCACGTCTTTGCTCATGTTCTTTCTCGCCTTCAATGGTATCCTTCTCGGGAACATTCCAGAAATCACGTCTGATTTCGCCATTGAAATATGGAAGACCAACGGAGCTGCCTAGGTTGTCCAGAGCCCTAGGACTACTACTGCCGAAGATTTCCTGAAACATAGAGAAAGCACAATGAAATTTGTCTGAATTAATGCTTTTTAAACCTGGCCGCTTTTTTTGTTTTTGAAAGACTTTATTATTTCAACATGAAAACACAAGATACATAAATGTCAGCTTGAATAAGAGAATCAAGCCAAATTGGTACATCCTCCAGCCAATACAAACCGGACTCCAAATTCAAAGCATGCTGGGCTAAAGTATGCGCAAGTTTGCTTGCTTCTCCAGGCCTAAATTGAATATGCGCGGTATGAAACGAACACAATTCTCTTAATTCAGGAAGGGGGGATTAGAACTTGGTTGCAAGAGGTAGGCTCACAACCATGGCTAACTGGCATAACCCATGACTACGTGAAAGAGAGAATAGAAAGAAAATAAAGGTGGATAGTGAAGAATCATGGAGTTTCGTTTGTCACGTTGAAAAATTTAGAGAGGCAAATATAACTCTAAAACCTTAAACAACTGAATCTAGTTTCGTTTATGAAATTATGAAAATATAGCCTTGAAAATTCGTTATATATACCTGTTCTCCAATATTCTGGCTAAGACAAATGTCGTTGGCCTGTGAGAATTTCATATTGGTAGCAATCTTGTCCACTCTAGGGTCGCCTGTCAACGCTCTTATAATTTCAGGATTTTTCTTGATGGCAGCCAGATGCAACGGAGTGTTTCCATCTACATCTGCTTCGTTTATTAGTACTGCAAGCTTAGACATGTTCAGTGAATACGTGATGACATTTGTTCGTCCACCTAAAACTGCAGCATGTAGAGCCGTTTGGCCATAATGATTGACCAAATCACAAATATCTGGCCGACACCGAATCATCTGTTCCATTACATCGGTGTGACCTGCATAGGCCGCGACATGGAGAGCTGACATTCCAGATTTGTCCAAGACGTAAGAAACAGAACTAGCACGTTGCATCAACAGTTGAGTTGCTTCAAGGTTCCCTCCAAATGCTGCGTAATGTAAGGAAGTCCACCAAGTGCATCATCCACCTTTTTTATTATATCCGGATATATTTCGACACCATAGTCTCCACAATACCTAGGTGCGTCATTTATACAAAAGTTAGTTACACGATTATGAGAGGAAGATATTACAAATCAAGGTCAGAACTAGGAATTTTAAATTGGTGGGCTAGTTAAAGGGTTTAAGGTAAAATCTAATGAACATTTTTTTTGTACTTACAGTTTATATAGTATTTCTAGAAAGGCTTTTTATCACAAATGGTCCCTGACGTTTGCGAAATTATCACATTTTGTCCCTAACGTTCTTTTGTGACACTAATGGTCCGTAAGATTACCCTCTACACATCAAAATGGTCCCTACCGTTATCTTCCATCAAATTTTCTGTTAAGTTGTTGACGTGGCACGTGTGTGGAGCCCACACATCCAATAGTATAAAACCACGTGGCTTTAAATAAAATAAAATATATTTTAAATATTTTAAAACTTAAATCCATAAAAAAAGAAAAAGAAAAATACATGCACCCTGCATTCTCATTTTAAAACTTAAATGAGCAACCAAAGGCTGGCCTTGTTCTTGCAAAAGATTCGGACCTTGTAAAGGAGAAAGAGAAGAAAAAAATTAGCAGCCCAAAATCTTTTAGAAGTCAGGAGCCGAGTCCTGACTTTAACATCATCCAATTTTTCAACTATTTTCAAGGGTATTTTAGTCTTTTTATTTTCAAGAGTATTTTAAAAATGGAAAAGTCATTATAAAAAAATTATGAAAAGACCCTTGAAAATTATAAAAAATTATATATCTTTTCACATTTAACCCCCAACCATTTTTACATTTAAGCTTTATTTTTTTTAATTATAATTTTTTCCATTTTTATAATATCCTTGAATGAAAAGATTAAAATACCCTTGAAAATAGATGGAAAATTGGATGATGTTAAACTCAGGTGACAAATCATGGATTTTGAAAAATTCAAGTGGCATTTCACTTAATTTTATTTTTTTCAGGTGATAAATTGAAATTATGGTATAAGTTCAGGTGACATTTCAACAAATATCCCAAAAATCAATTGAGCATAAGGCTTGGGCAAAGAGATAAAGAACACAAGAGGGAAACGAGAGAAAGAGGGGGAGAGAGAGGAGGAGAGGTTGGCTAGTGGTGAAGAGGGATAGGCTTTCCACCGGTGTTGGGAGGTGGGTTGGGAACTTGGGCGGGCCATAGGTGGTTGTTGGGGGGTGAGTGGCTGTTTTTATTATTATTTGTTTTTAATTTTTAATTTTATTTAGACTTAAGGGTGTTTTATAGAGAAGACTTAACAATGTTAAGTTGTAGTTTGATGTGTCATATTTTAAGTCGTTAAATTATTGCAACGATCAAGATTTAATGAAATGTGAATAAATACAAACTATCTATGGGAATCCATAATTTACCTTTCCATTCTTCATCTATATAAGTTACCGCTACATGCAAAGTTGTAACACCGTTAAACCCCCTAAAAGAAGGACATATTGGACACTGGTTCACAATTGAACGAGCTACGACTGGAAAAGCCATGCCGAGTAGCCAAGAATAAGGGGGACTCCTTATTAAAATTAATCAAACAGCACAATCCAGGATCTTCAGCCATTAACAAATTCACCACCTCAACGTGACCGCATCTGATAGCAACATGCAATGCTGTATCTTCTTCAAAATTAGTCATTCGAAGTAGTTTGTTAGCTTCACCATTAGTCGGTCCTCTTTCCTCGTCAGCTCCTTGAATATGCACAAGTTTCTTTGCGTGTTCAATGAGGAGCTTTACAATTTCATCACAGCCTACTCTAGCAGCGACGTGGAGAGGTGTGTTGCCCTTCTTATTGGGAGCCCAAAACAGCAAAGATAGATCATCTAGGACATCTCTGAAGAAATGTATTTGTTTGTATTCAGCTGCAATATGAAAAATACTGTTGTGAGCTGGGGTTTTCTGACAGAGAAGATCAATTGATGCATCAGCTCTTCTGAAAAAACCAACATCACCCGATTCTGCAGCCTCATACACAGAAGGATCCATGGCTCTTGGCTCTAGCTTCCAACTTATTTTCTCTCAAGCTTTCTCAAGGAGATTGACAAGAAAACCATAATCTAATATGACTAATTTTATTATTTTATAATTGACAAAAATGAATTTTTTTATATTTTAGCAAAGCTAATTAAATGACGCGGAAAGATCCATAGGGTAATTTAATGGAAGCTAGACCTTACTGCTTGCCTTCATTTTTGGAAGAAGATACTCATTTTTGACACATGTGCAAAAATAATTCATCAAAAACACAAAAAGAAAAACTTCTACACACGTCATACGACTATTGACAGGAATGTAAGAGTTCCTACTTACAAAGGAAGGAGGGATGTATTTTCCTATATATTAAGGTCCAACATACTTTATGTTATATAAAAATTATTGAAAAATAAGTGTATTGGTATTAGTAACTTAATAAATGCTAGAGCAGATGCCTCACCCATTGAAACAAAATAAAATAAAAACTCTCATTGTAATTATTTGCAATTGTATACTAATAATCGCTTAAAAAAATATGACAACAATCATTATTATTTGGTGACATTTGTTGGAGTGACTAAAGAATATCACCAAATAATAGTGACTGTTGCTTATTAAACTCTTCAGTCAAAGCACAAAACTTTGTTATTTGTCAAATGAGTAGGTTACTTGCCAAGAAGATGATACCTTTTGACCTGTCTTCTAAGGAGACGGATATGACTAATAAATTCACGCGATGGCACAAATAGAAAAGTAGTGTGTTAGTTATATCTATTTAATTCAGTCTTTGAAGACTAAATTAAAGGGCAACTTTCAATCAGTTTCTTCCCATTGCATGAATTTCTCTTCTTCAGGTCGTTTTCCCTGGCGAGGAGAGGACAACATATTCTTGGAAAATAATTCTGGCGAGACTATTTTTTTATAGTCCACATTAAGACCACAAGGTGATAAGTATTACAACCACCCTCCAAATCATTGTATATCATCATTATTTGTTCAAATTATAGATAAATTTGGGATTCAAATTTGAGATTTATTCTAATATTGAGAAGAGAAGTATCGTAAACCTAAGAGCTAGTTGGTTCAAAGTTATATCATTTACAGGTCATGTTCGAACTATGTTTGTTAACACAAATGTTACACCTTTGAGGTTGAGGCCATTAAATCAAAGCACTCTTAGTAAAAGAATTCAATATGAAATCGGAAATAAAACAATCTCTTCCAATTTTCTTTGTGTCTCCTCTCTGTTCCAGTTTTCTTGGTTATATATGGTTCAGTACAGGTCTCCTTCACATCTTCTTCTGTAAATAAAAAACAAATACAAAATAATTATGCTGGAAATTAAATTAAATTTGTGTAAGATAACTTATGTAAGTTGGCCTAATCACGTGTTATAATTATCGTATTATTAGAATGAGATAATAAGATTTATGTTTATCAGTTATTGTAAGACTTTCAGTTTTGATAGACTATTTGGTTACTAATGTGCTTTATATAGTTGGATTTAGCATGGAAGCATGAAGAACCCAACTCGAACCAAATGTCAAAAATAGTTACAAAAGTGTACATAATTAAGTAAAAAGAACACTCTAAGTTTCAAACAACAAACACAAACAAATTGTTGTATTAATAATTGGCACAAATTAATGTGCTAATCATCCAATTAAAAATATCCGCAAGTGTACAAATCTATTGGAGTATAGATTTGTAAATACGGGATCGTTCCCACAAGGAATTGGAGGCTTATATAAGGATATAGTTTGAGTACATATAGAACACTTATTTAACACAATCACAAAGGTAAGATACAAATGGAATACTAGAAATGAGTGAAAAAAAAAAAGTAAAATAAAAGAAACAAAACAAGAAACCAAAGGTAAAAACAATCAAGATTTTGTATCACTATTGTATCACCATGGTATCACTACTGTATCACCATTGTATCACTTCTTTATCACCTGGGTACTGTAGGAGTGATCAATCGCTTTTGGAAAGGGATCAATTGCTTTTGGGCAGAGAAGAATTCTCTGGACAACAAACTAAGCGATTGATCACTTGTGGGAAACAATCAATCGCTTTTTGGTAGAGAAGAGAGAAACGAATCTCCTCTGTTTTTTCCGACAAAAAAAAAAAAAAAAAATCTCCTCTGTTTTCCAGCTTCGACCTCTATTCCATTTTTAACATGTAACTTTCCAACCATTAATCCAAATTTTATGTGCTTTATATGGTTAGATTTAGCACAGAAAAATGAAGAACCTAACTTAGACGAAATGTCAAAAACAGTTACAGAAGTGTACAAAATTAAGTAAAAAGAACACTCAAATTTTCAAACAACAAACACAAATAAAAAAGGGAGGGGGAGGGGGATGGGGTTTGATTCAAGTGACGTAATTCTAATGCTTAAATGTAACTGAACTCTAATTTTAACAAGATCAACAAATGTCATTATCAAAGTGTAACTTAATATGGTGACAAACACTAAGGTTTTCGGAATCCACCCTAAACAATTCTACTCATGTTCATGAACACTCAAGTAATGAATTCTAGACACATTGATGAAGATGTTCGCAATTAAGATCGGGATTAGCGGCTCGAGATGCATGATTCTCTCTAAAATAAGTAAAGTGCATGTTTAGTGTTACAATACTCATGCTTCCCATACAATCAATTTAGGTGTGCTTAGTACTTTGATTTAATCATATGAAAAAACCATTAAGTTTGAAGATAATATGAACATCACAAGAACCCTAATAGCATGGTGTTTATATTAGGCATTCAAGAAACCAATGCACATGGATGATTCTTACTTCATCCATTAGTTGCTTAGGAAAATATGAAGGTACGTATAATTCCAACAATCTCAAGAAGCATACTTTCAAGGGTGATCAAACAAAGAAATATTATTTTAGAGAAGAGGAATTCATCAACAACATCTAGAAATTCATAAAGTCTAGCATCAAAACAAAAGAGTAATCATGTTTAAGGCTTCAACCTAAGCCCTAGCTATGGTGTTTAGTTTCTCATGTTCATAGTGAATACAATTTGTGTTGTGCGCAAACACTACAAGACCTTGTTGATGGACTATGCAACGACACACACACCAATCCATTTGAGAATAAAACACACACATTGAAGAGAGAAAGCAAACACACACAAGAACACAAAGATTTATAGAAGTTCAGCCTCCTGCTTACGTTCTCTTGGTTATCCACCCGAGAAATTCACTGGTATGAAAGACCCCTTTTGGTTACAATGAAGAATCCCATTTCCTTTCTCACAAACCTCTCTTTTCTCTCACCTTTGGCTGAAACTCAATTTAATGTCTTAGCTTTCTCATGTTACAATAACCTAGCGCTAAAGTGCCTATTTATATGTTATAAGGCTTTAGTACAATTATACCAGGAATAGGAAAGGACCCAAAAACTAAAAGAAAATCTATCAAGATTAGCAAGGATAAATGCTGGATTTGCTTATTTTGCTCGAGAGCTACTTGCACCTATGTTTGCTACAGCAGGCGCTTGGGTACCTGGGTCAAGGTGAGAAATATCGCTCTGCCGCTCGAGAGCCTAAAATTTCCGCTCGAGTGGTAGAGCCCAGTCAGAACGACTACAACTATTTTGACTGTATGTTTCCTTCACTCATTCCACATCTTTAGGTGAGCCAATATCAACGATCTCCACCTTAGCGAGCCTAAATACCTTGTGAAAATCATTGACCTTTAGAACCTCTTCAAACCTCTTGGAAATCGTCCTAGTAATTCCCAAGAGCTCTACCATGGCAAGAAACCTCTTGTCTCAATGCACCTTAGGTGAGAAGGTGCTCCACCCAATGCTAAACTTGGGTCATCTGGCCTTCTTGCGTGGATGAGAGATCCCTTATGCCAAACTCTTTGCTTATCGCCTTCTTGGAACCTTGAATTCTTGACATATCTTGATACAGAAACCGCATACCAACCATTGTTATATAAATCCCCACGTAGCCACCAATTTTGCTCTTGGATTTATGAACTAACTCCCTTTTCATCAAAGCACTCATCCAACTTTCCCGCTTCATGCTCCCTAAAGTACTCTGAAACATAGTTGATGGATTCCTTAAGCTCGGACCTTGCTTGTGATGAAGGCTCCACCTCAAGTAGAACCTTTTTGTGAGTTGTTAAGGCCCATCTTCTTCAACCCTTGTGTCAAACTCCATTTGCCTTAGAGTCCTTTCCATGACCACCTTGATAAGAAGCATCTTTTCGGTTGTCACCGTCCCAACATTCTCCCCATCATTCCTTGTCTTGACTTCACCCTTGTGGACCTTGTCCTCTACATCTTTGAAATCAAGCACCCTTAATGATAAACTGTTAATCATACAACTTTGACTAACCTTCTTTGCCCCAACTAGTCTTGAGCAAAACTCGTAGCTTCATTTCGTTGCACCGGCTTCTTGACAGTAAGATCCCTTGCTTGCTTTTCTTTGGTACAAAGTACCTCCTTGATAGAATTTTCTGCTTTACCTGCAATTGTACCCCCCAAATGCTGATAAACATTGTTAGGTTGAATCTCCCCTATCATAATCACTACTAAACCTTGTGTGACTAAAAGCTTTCCTTCTTTGGCCTTGTACGAATACCATTATCTATCTAGAGCGCCAAGGGAAATAAGATTTCCTTCTTAGTTTCGGTACATGGCTTACCAAACTAAGGTTACTAACAACACCATCATGCATCTTGATCTTTATTGTTTCCATGTCCAAAGCATCACAACTTGTTTTGTCTCCCAACAAAATATTGCTACCATTTCTTTCTTCATGTGTATCAAACTCCATTCTATTCGAACACACATGAAACGAACAACTGGAATCTATAATTCAAACTGAAGTAGAACTCTTACCCGAAGAATGTGCCACGACTTCGCCATTACGCTCTTCATCTGTAACCATCAAAAGTTTGTCATTGGTTTGACAACCAGTAGAAACGTTTGCTGCGCCTGAACTTTCGGCATCCTTCATCTTGTTCCGCTTCTTCTTTC